CCACTTGTCACTTCTTTCCAAGATGAAGAGGAACCATTAGTGAGCACTCTCTGTGTTCGTCCACTTAACCAATTACAGATCCACCTCACCGTAGTTTTGCCTAGCCCACATTGGACTAGTTTCCTTGCCAGAAGGTCATGGGGGACCTTGTCGAAGGCCTTACTGAAATCCAGGTACGCTCCATCCACGGCATTCCCCGCATCTACCCAGCTTGTAGCTCTATCGAAGAAAGAGATCAGATTAGTCTGGCATGACTTGTTTTTGATAAATCCATGTTGACTATTAGCGATGACTGCATTTGTTTCTAAGTGTTTGCAGACCGCTTCCTTAACAATCTTTTCCAGAATCTTGCCCGGTATCGATGTGAGGCTGACCGGACGGTAGTTGTTTGGGTCATCCTTTTTTCCCTTCTTGAAGATTGGGACCACATTGGCCCTCCTCCAATCTGCTGGAACTTCTCCCGTTCTCCAAGAACTCTCAAAGATGGTTGCCAATGGTTCCGAAATGACTTCCGCTAGTTCCTTCAATACTCTGGGGTGTAGTTGATCTGGCCCTGGGGACTTGAACTCATTAAGAGCGCCAGGTATTCCTGGACGACTTCTTTCCCAATTTGGGGTTGGATGTCCTCCAATCCCTCATCCACTCCATCTTGCTGAGGTTGAAGACTCTCTTTTTGTGAGAAGACCGAGGCAAAGAAGGCATTAAGTAGTTCTGCCTTTTCCCTATCCCCTGTCAGCATTGCCCCATCTTCTCCTCGAAGAGGTCCTATCGCCTCCTTGTTTTTCCTTTTTCTACTGACATAAAAATAGAAGCCCTTTTTATTGTTTTTAATGTCCCTGGCAAGCCTGAGCTCGTTTAGTTCTGCTGGACCTCTCAGAGGCCTTCGATACCGTCGATCACGGTATCCTTCTGGGGCGCCTCATGGACATGGAGCTCGGGGGCACTGCTTTGTGGTGGCTGCGATCCTTCCTTGAGGGATGGTCCCAGAAGATGTTACTGGGTGACACCTGTTCGGCCCCACAACCGTTGTTGTGTGGAGTCCCACAGGGTTCAATTCTGTCCCCGATGTTATTTAACATCTACATGAAGCCGCTGGGGAAGATCATTCGGAGTTTCGGAATGAGATGTTATCTCTACGCAGATGATGTCCAAATCTGTCACTCCTTCCCACCTGTCACCAAGGAGGCTGTCCAGACCTTGAACCAATGCTTGGCTGCTGTGTCGGACTGGATGAGAGCTAACAAATTGAAATTGAATCCAGACAAGACAGAGGTCCTACTGGTCAGTCGTAAGGCTGAACAGGGCATAGGGTTACAGCCTGAGTTAGATGGGGTTACACTCCCCCTGAAGATGCAGGTTTGCAGCTTGGGAGTGTTCCTGGACTCATCGCTGAGCCTGGAACCCCAGGTCTCGGCGGTGGCCGGGAGAGCTTTTGCACAATTAAAACTTGTGCGCCAGCTGCGCCCGTATCTTGGGAAGTCGGATCTGGCCACGGTGGTCCACGCTCTTGTTACATCCCGATTGGATTACTGCAACGCACTCTACGTGGGGTTGCCTTTGAAGACTGCTCGGAAACTCCAGCTTGTCCAGCGAGAGGCAGCCAGATTGCTCACCGGAGCGGCATACAGGGAGCATACCACCCCCCTGTTATGTCAGCTCCACTGGCTGCCGATCCAATTCCGAGCACAATTCATAGTGCTGGTTTTGACCTACAAAACGCTATACGGTTCCGGCCCAGTGTATCTGTCCGAACGGATCTCCCTCTACGTCCCACCTCGGAACCTAAGATCTTCTGGGGAGGCCCTGCTCTCGACCCCGCCTCTATCACAAGTGAGGCTGGCGGGGACGAGGAGCAGGGCCTTCTCGGTGGTGGCCCCTCACCTGTGGAACTCAATCCCTGGGGAGATTAGATCAGCGACGTCCCTTTTTTCATTTAGAAAAAAACTGAAGACCTGGATATGGGACCAGACATGTGGACATTCTGGCAGCTAAAGAAAGACCTGATGATGAGCAGGAATTGACGGATCGGAATGGATTTACGGAACTCTGAACACTGAGCATGGGATTAGTTTTTATTGTGTTATTGTGTTATGTATAAATGTTTTTAACCTGTTAACTGTTTAATTGCTTTTATATGTGTATGTATATGTGACATAGACATCGAATTGTGCCTTCTTTTGTAAGCCGCCCTGAGTCCCCCCTCGGGGGTGAGAAGGGCGGGGTAGAAGTAACTGAAATAAATAAATAAATAAATAAAGACCATCCTGATGCTGCTAATCAACACCAAAAGGATAGAAGTATCCACAAGAACAAGACCACTAAAACAGGATTTCCATGGCACACGAACTTGATTTCTAAACAATGCCTGATCTAACAGGTTTTCCCTTGAAGCAAACCTTATATCCCCAAACCCAGAAACTGGTTTTGTTTCCCCCCACCCTTGGCTCTTATCTATCGAAGCCATTTGGAGCGATGTAAACCTTGAGTTTGTTGTCAATCCTGGCTGAACTCCAGCCGCCTGTTTTTCAACTCCCTTTCTGGCTGCTCATTAAAATTTCCAGGTGTCAGATTGTTTTCCAAACCCAAATCTTGAGAGCTCACAGAGAGAGGGAGTAAACCATCATCCCTATGCCCAGCAGGAATATTCTCATGAGAAAATGCCCTTTGCACTCGGGCCTCTCTGTCATTGTCTGCATGAAAATCATTGACCAAACCATCTCCATCTTGCATCTCAGCCTCAGCACCTTCATTTTCCTCATCATATCTCACAGTATTGCCCACATCATTTCCCACTTCAGAAGCATAATCAGAAGCATCATGATCCTGGAACACAAACACAGGCTGATTCCCAACACAGATAAGGTTGTAGCCCGGGAGTGGGGATAGGGGTCCCCCCCCCCCATTTTTTTTCAGATTGAAAAACCCTGGTTCACTCATGAATTTAACTGGTTAACCAAATCCTTATGCTAACTCTATGAGAAGCAAACATTAAACAAGTCTCTCCAGAACCGCAAGCACTATCTCAAGCAAATGTTGACAATGTATTCACACTATCCTTAGTTGTAGCAATAGCTGATATAGTGGATACAACCAAGTTGGCCCATCCATAACTGGCAGGCAAAGGCTAAGGCATTGAGAGGGGGGGAGGGGATTTGAAGGCTCTCATGAACGAGACCAGACTTGGTGGGGGTAGTTGACAGGGGCGGAGTTGCAGGCTATTTAAGGCTGCTTTGTCCCCTGCTGTGCTCTTTGCTTCAGTGTGAGGTTCCTGATGGGGAATTAGGCCTTCCCCTCCTTCCTATCCTGCTCTCCTTTTCCAGATAGTAGGGTTGCTATGCCTATATATAGGCTGTTTTCAACTCTTAAACGTTTGAAAACATACATGAGCACAATGGGGCAAGAAAGTTCAACTGGATTGCACTCTTGGGTGTCCACTGAAGTTTTCAGTGGAGTCTGATTTCTGTGAAGGTGCACTGACACGTTTTTCAAATGTTTCCAACAGACGTTTCGGTATTCTTTTCTAACTATGAATTACAAATTAACAGTCATTTTCCATTATTTTAAGACTTGAAACTTTGTAACTAAACTAGAAAATTGATTTAATTTATCCTATATAAAATATAGAATGAACCATAGTATTTAAATTATTTTGTGTTATGGAACTACTCTTCACAATTTGCTAAAAAAAAAGTTTCACCCCACCCCCAATTTTTTTTTTTTTTTTGCTATGGTCATGCATGTAGGGTTTTAAGGGTCAAAGCCAACACTTTCTACTCCTCCCAGAAACTAATTGACAGCCAGTGGAATGACTTTAGTATAGGTATAGTATGCTCACTCCTGGATGTTCTTGTAACCAATCTAGTTGCTGTGTTCTGAACTAATCGGGAGTTTCCGAACTTGGTACAAAGGTAGCCCAATGTAAAGTGCATTGCAGAAGTCCAACTTTGAGGTTACCAGCATGTGCATTATCACCTTCAGGTCACCCAAATCTAGGAAGGGGTGCAGCTGGCAGTAAGCACTCCTGACGGTCACATCTCCCTGGGCTGAGATTTGGGTCCAGGAGCACTCCAAGCTGCAAACACAATCTTTCGGGGGGAGTGTAACTTCATCCAGGTCTGGTTGACACACCTCCATCCTCAAGTTAGGACCCTTGGTGGCAGGTACCGCTGTCTTGTTTGGAGTCAGTTTCAATTTATTTTTCCTCCTCCAGCCCATTACCTCCTCCAGGCATTCACTCAGAGGAGACAGGAGTCTTTGCTAGAGCTACAGTGCTTCTACACTGTGGAAATAAAGAACTTTGACACTGGTTTAATTGCTATATGGCTCAGTCATGTAATCATGGCAGTTGCAGTTTTACAAGGTCTGCCAAATAGTGCTGGTGCTTCCCTAAACTACAACTGCCATAATTCCATAGACATTCAACCATGTCAATTAAAGTGGTGTCAAACTGCATTCTTCCTACAGTGTAGGCTGCCCGGAGTGAGCGAACTACACATATTATATGGAAGTGAAGAGAACCCATCCGAACTGATTCCATCCACGACTTCCTCCTCTGATCTATGGCCTTGGAGGACTAAGGACGACGCCACGCCCACTCCGGCAAAGGCGGCCAATCGGGATCCGCCGAGGGCGTGGCTTCCCTCCTGTGAGTCAGCAGAAGCGCCCCTCCCCTTTGCAGCGCGTTGCCTGGGTCAACGTTGTGACGTCACTGAGCACCAGTTTCAAAAGGCTGTCGCCCATCATTGGCTTTACTGCGCAGCCGTTATTAGTGTTTTAAAGCAAACTGAGGACCACTAGGCTCGCGCGGGGGCGCGCACGCGCCCGTCCGCTCTTCCCAACATCCGCAAGGCTCTTAACGATGGGAAAAGACGGGCGCCCATTGGCAGCCGGCTCATACTCCTCTTGACGCATGCGCGGGGCCGATTAGCGGTTCCTGAGGCTGAGGGGGCGGGGGTGGGATCGTCATCTGCGCATGGGCAGTGGCGGATAGCGGAGAGCCGGGGGCGTGGCCAGGCGGCGGCGAAAGGAGCGCGGTCAGCTGACTTGGGCTCGCGGCACGGGCTCCGGCGGAAGGAGGGCGCGAGGGGACGCGCGAGGGACCCCGCGGCCTGAGGGAGTTGCCATGGCGACCACCGTGAGCACTCAGCGCGGCCCGGTGAGTCCCGGCGTCTGCGAGAGGAGGAAGGCTCCTGGGCGGAGGCTGGCGTGGGCTGACGAGGAGACACTCCTGGCCTTTGGAATGGAGGCCTTCTTGGGTCCTGTGGACCGAGAGGGTCCCTTTCTCTGCGTTCCAGGCAGAGAGGGAGGGCTGCGAGGGTTGCGCTCTCCCGGGTGACTCCTCGCGCTTTGGCAGTGCCCTCGCCTTCAGACACGCCAGATGAGGCGAGGGGCACGGGGACTTTTGCAGGCCCACGGAAAATACAACGCCGTGTTGAAACTATGGCTGGATCTACATTGCCAGATAACGCCCTTTGAACTCCATGATTTGTCAGTGTAGGCCAGGCATGGGGCAACTTGGGCCCTCCAGATGTTTGGGACTTCAACTCCCACCATTCCTCACAGCCTCAGCTCTAAGGACCCGAGACTGTTAGGAATGGTGAGAGTTGAAGTCCAAAACCCTGGAGGGCCCAAGTTTGCCAATGCCTGGTGTAAACCCAGCCTGAGACGCAGCTTTCCCACATTTCTCCCCTTCTGCTACTGGCTATGTGCTGCCAGCATCCTACATCCGAAATGAACTGCAGAAATTATACCGAAGAATGCTGCTTCTGAAAAACTGGGCGTCCAAATGGATTCCCTTACTTTACCTCAGTGCTGGGGATCAGGAAAAATATGACACCAGTAAAAGGTTTCTGAAGGCCACCCATTTACGGAAGTCGGTTGGCAACAGCACCCGGTGTTAGGACTTCAGAAAAGGCTTCAGGTATCTATATAAATAAAAACATAATGTTCGTTTGTGGTATTAACATAACTCAAAAACCACTGGACGAATTGACACCAAATTTGGACACAATACACCTATCAGGCCAATGAGTGGCCATCACTCATAAAAACACTGAAAAACACAGCAGAAGAGACATAAAAAGCAAAACAAAACAAATTTATATATATTACAAAGCATGCGCAAAACCATATATACACGCACATACACATGCAAACACTTATACACAAATATATATACACACAAAACATATACACGGACTGAGCCACAGCAACCCGTGGCAGGGGAGGGCTAGTGCTTCATAAACAGGAAAAATCGGCCTGTTTAGCAAGCCTTGCAAATGTTGATTTACTACACTGGCCAATACACATTTTGGTCCCCATATATTAGCCCTGTTTCTGGGTATATTTGACCTGCTGATTCAAAAAATGGCACCAGTTTCCACCTATCAGCTTTAGTTTTTCAGATACAGAACATATGCGTCTGCTAGTTGTTACCTGCTCATCCACAGAAAACCATGGTAACTAACTAAGAAACTAGAGCTGAAGTAGTGTATCCAGTGCAAGTTTCAGAATCAGCATCCTGAATAATCCCAGGAACAGACCTAAAAGCTAAGACACCATATTTTATTTTATTTATTTGATTGGGCTGTGTTATCAGTAAACAAATGTTTGATTTTTTTAATACGAATTTTATATACCTGTATACCTGGGATCATGGAAAATTTCTCAGACAGAATAGGAATGGAAAAGGTTTAAGGAAAACCTACTTTTGAGAAAGACTTCGATTTATAGTAGAGAGGTGCATATTTAGGCCAGCAAGTTGGGAAGTCATGTGCTAAAGATCATTGTACTATGATGCAGGCCTATGGTAGAGCAGTTCAGCCTGGAAAGGCTCAGCTGACTTACATAGTGGTGTATAAATCTAAACATTTTAGTCAAAATATCAACCGAAAAATATGGCTTCACTTATCCACAGGCCAGTGTTGAGCACACTGTGACCTAACTCTTATAATAAATGGAACCATTCCCTTCTCTGAGTAGAGTTACAAAAAGCAAGAGCATAGTCTATCCTGGGAGAACCTAAAAGAAGCACTGATTGCTTCCACTCTATCAGAATTCATTATTTGGGCTCCCAAATCTTCCCTCAATTTATACATGAGGTTTGATTATACAGTAAATGAGTATACACAGTAGACTGCAGAACTATGACCTTGACATGTGGCAGTTTGGGAATAAAAATGTTTTAGATTTCAGATTATTATTTTTGGGAAGGATATTGAAATATTGAGATACTTGGAGATGGTATCACTGTTTTAACACTACATTCATTTTTGTTTGATATACACCTTAGACTCATAGACTGAATGTAATTTTATACAATATTGCTAATAATGTTCTGCATGGAACCAAGTTTGTGTACAGTACACCATGAATTGTGATATCACTATCTCAGCCACAATTTTAGATTTTGGAGTTTTTCAGAATTTTGGATAAGGGATGTTCAACCTGTCAGAAACCCCTGGAAGAGCCCTCCATTGTCTGTGAATAGGATTTTTTTGAGTACTGAAAAAAACGATTTTTGCTTTATTATTTTAAAAGGGCCAAGAGAGATTTAGCACAACATACCACTTAGCAGAGAGGGTTGTCTTGTGGAAAGCTTCACAGTCTTGTTTTATCTTCTTATGTATGTAGGGCCACAAATACCCTGAAGAAAACAGTTCCCATCCGATCTTGGAAGCTATGCAAGGTCATCCCCTGGTTAGTACTTGGGTAGGAGCCTGCCAACAAATACCAGGTGTTGTAGACTACATTTCAGAAAAAGGAACTGCTCTTGTGTATGCCTTGACAAAGTAAATCCTGTGAAATTCATGAGGTTGCCATTATGTCAGCAGGAAACTTGAAGTCACATATGCACACATACATTCTCTCTGAGGAAAGGTGTCATTCTTCTCTTCCCAGAGACATATTTATTTTATTTATTTTATTTTACTTTGCTTATATACCGCTGTATCTCAAGCCCGAAGGCGACTCACAGCGGTTCACAAACAGTAAAAACAGTAGAAACAGCAGTGGTTCCATACAACATATAACAATTGACTTAACACATTATCCATAAATTACCAATAAGCAATTACAATGCACAATTATTACAAAAAACAACCGTACCCAATCTTCTCATCATCCAAGTGTAGTCCAGGTTCGTCGTCCATTGTTCCATTCCTATGTTCCATTACCAGATTGCACTAAATTACTCAAACGCCTGCACAAACATCCAGGTCTTCACCTTTTTGCGGAATACCATTAGAGATGGTGCTAGTCTAATGTCCGTAGGAAGGGCGTTCCACAGCTGAGGAGCCACCACCGAGAAGGCCCTATCTCTCGTCCCCGCCAGCCGAGCTTGAGAAGCAGGCGGGATCGAGAGCAGGGTCTCCCCGGAAGATCTCAAAGTCCTGGTGGGTTCATAGGCAGAGATGCGGTCAGATAGGTAGCTTGGGCCGGAACCGTTTCAGAAGGGCATCAACTTCCAATAGTCTAGGCTGACCTCTTCCTATCTGATATATTCCAAAGTCTTTGGAACATAAATGCCGGGTTTATGGGGATCGATTATAGTTAAAGTACAAAACATCCGGAGGGCACCAAGATGGGAAAGACAAGGTTGCATACTGGTAATGAAATTTTCTGTCATACATAAATATTTCACTTTTAAGATTTACTCTGAATTAAAAACAAGAGATTCTTGTATAAATGAAATATAAGGAACAAATAATTTTACAACTCTAAAAATCAAATAAAAGGAAAAGTAAAGCAACAAAACAATTTAAAAAGCATGAGCCGTAGTTAAAAAAAAAGTAACCACTTTATGTATTGTCGAAGGCTTTCATGGCCGGAATCACTGGGTTGTTGTAGGTTTTTTCGGGCTATATGGCCATGTTCTAGAGGCATTCTCTCCTGACGTTTCGCCTGCATCTATGGCAAGCATCCTCAGAGGTAGTGAGATCCTTTGCACCCTTCATTTTCTCTCCAAAGACCAAGATATAATATTTAACTTCCATAGAAAACATGTCCCCTGTATTGGGGGAAAGCCTGTCAAGCATTTTTTTTTTACAGGAGCTCTTTTAACATCTAGTAATATAGCTTGTGTTTTTCATCCCAATGGTGTTACTATGCATTCTGCATTTAAAAGTTTAGAGCAGGTGCCGTATAAATGACATTGGAGGGCCATGTCCCGCTCACAGTCTTTAGTTTGGGGGTTCCTACTCTATGTTATCAACTTCCCATTTTTCCTATATTTTAGAAAACAGTTCCTAGAGTTGTAGTGGAAAGGAACAACCACTAAAGGATGCTAAAGAGCTTTCAATGTTTCTTGGTGTTTCAGTATTTCCAATCCTAAGGATATTTGTGTTAAAAACTTGGCCAATTGTTTACTTGTATGAACTTTCAAGATATTATGTGTACTATTTTGTTCAGGTTTATATCTTACCATTTGTTTTATAACATAACTTCTTCCTTGTCTTTCTTCTTTTTATTTCAATTAATTTGAAATCAAAGACATTGAGATTTGTTTTATATCAAACTAGAATCTTAATTACAAAGAATGTACATTCAGCCAGAGTTGGTCAATGGTCTTTGACTCAGTTACAATAAAACTGAATCAAAATGGTCAGAATTGTCAATAATAGACAATAAAACAAAGTATCAAGAGCTAAATAATAAATATGAGGGTTTTTAAAACAATTTTAAAAACAAGAAGTTCACAGACTATGTGCCATTTACTGTAGCTCAAATCATGCAGTTCATACTAAGCAAACATGGAGCCACAAAAGATGTAACTGCATATAGCTCTAGATAAGAGATGACTATCTTGCATATTCAGAGACTACCATGATTTCTGCACATTACTCTAAACCAGGGGTCCTCAAACTAAGGCCCGGGGGCCGGATGTGGCCCTCCAAGGTCATTTACCCGGTCCTCGCTCTGGGTCAACCTAAGTATGAAACTACTTGAAAGCACACAATAACAACAACAATCCTATCTCATCAGCCAAAAGCAGGCCCACACTTTCCATTGAAATACTAATAAATTTATATCTGTTAAAATTGTTCTTAATTTTAATGTATTGTTTTTAAATGTTCTTTGCACTACAAGTAAGGTATTTGCAGTGTGCATAGGGATTCATTCATGTTTTTTTCTAATTATAATCCGGCCCGCCAACAG